TCCATCCATCCATCCATCCATCCATCCATCCATCCATCCATCCATCCATCCATCCATCCATCCACCCACCCACCCAACCAACCAACCATCCATCCAACCAAACAACCAACCATCCATCCAACCAAACAACCAACCAACCATCCATCCATCCATCTATCCATCCATAAACCATCCATCCATCCATCCATCCATCGAATCAACCATCCATCCATCCATGCAACCAACCAACCTACCATCCATCCATCCATCCATCCATCCATCCAACCAACCATTCATCCATCCATCCATCCATCCTTTCATCCATCCATCCATCCAACCAACCATCCATCCAACCAACCACCATCCATCCATCCATCATTTTGGTAATAACAGAAAGCAAACTGGATCTGCCTATCTACTGCCAAAAGTATACCACAAGTGAGCAAGCAGAGGAAGCTTGCAAGAGGGGAGACAATGTGAGCAGATCTCTATGTACGCTTGCAGAAATCTGTATTCCCCTATGATTATTGCTCACTCGGATATTATTTTGCATAATATGAACTTGCTTGCGCGCGATCTCATTTACACTTGCAAGAGTTTTGGCAGAATTTTGCCACTGTAACTTTTTAGCCCTCATGTGCCTCTTTGTCTTCATCAAATACGTATTTCAGCTAGCTGTCAATCAACTRACTTCTACCTTTTTCTGCAGTTTTCAAATAAATTATTCAGAACTCAACACTGACACTGAACTCTCACAGCAAATGCACGCTAACCTAGTTTATGGCTTAATTTTGCTGCTGAGCAGGTGAAATTTGTGGCCGCGTTCAGCAAAAAAATAATCTACTGCCACACTTCACACCTCGGTAGCGCCTTTCCAAACACTCCCAAAGTCATCCCAGATGGGATTTCTCATCTGCAAACTTAAATATTTACACAGCATGACWGAAATTATTTAGCATTATTTGCTTTTCATGTCACGTGAAGATCAAAACTGCTCTGCCTCCACGTAAGGCGGGTGCCAGATGACATTTAGCACCAAGTCTGACAGCAGGAAGAAACGGTTAGCAGAGCCCTGTGTGGAGGTAATAAAATCTGCCTACCTGCTCCTCTGCAGATAGCCGCAGCTTTGTTCATACAGTCAGAGGCTCTGCTTTTCATTAACAACATCAGAGTTTATTTTCATCTGGCAACTTTAGAGCCTAAACTAACGAAGAGAGCTGCAAACTGGGGCTCACTGCAAAGATAAGCTGTGACCTGAGGGATTTCTTGTGTTTGTCTCACAGACAGAGAGGTGCCACAGATATGTGGAGAGCAATAATTCACCTGGCCACCCACAAACTTTWTGATRTTTGGTTGGAGTGGATCAGATAGACTCTTGGAAGGCAGTCTATTTTAAGCTCCTTACACTTGTGCACACACTGCGTGTMTTTAAACTCAGAGAGGGGAACATCAACATTTGCAACTTGAGATTCTTTTAAGTGCAAAACTGTTCAAGTTTATTGAAGCGCCTGGCCAAACACGGGACTGACCTCGCATAATAACAAAAGATGTGTTTTGCGTCAAATAAAGGGGCTTATGCTTACGTTGCTCCAAGCGGAGTGGGTTCGCTTTGGCCAAAATAAATGAAGGATGAGGGGAGAGCACAGTAATGACAGCCCGTCTCAGCTGGCAGCTCTGCCTCCCACTGAGAAACTGCCTGAAGGAGCATCATTAAGAACACCAGTGAAATTTACAGGCCTGCTGTGGGCCTCTGCTTTAAAGAGAGGAGAAACATGGATGATGCCCTCAGGATGAGGAGCATCCATATGGCCACAAGACTAGGAACACAATAGAGAGACTATGTGCTAACAAAGGAGTGTTTGTTTCCTGTTTCTGCAGGCGCACACTGGAGCAGCGTGGTTTCAGGGACCATCCAAGCGCCTGACTGTTACCTTTAACCTAAACCCGCACGGTGACACATTTAGCTTCTCGGCAGATGACTGCTGCTATGTGGCCTTCAGCTACAAACTCTGTGAGAAATGCCATTCTGGAAGTCGGACAGCCGGGTGCTTTGACTGTGTTGAGGAGGCTGACGTATTGGTTTGAGGGGAAAAGGGAGGAGTTTCTCTGCAGGGGAAAAAGGAAAATTAATTTAAAGGACTGCACTTCTCACATAAACATCCAGAGAGAAAATATTTCACTTTTCCAACTGCAAGAGCGAGAAGGGAGAAATGTTAAGAGACCAGGTAGGCATGTCGTGTTGTTCCACTTCTGTGCAGACCCCCACGTTAAAAAAATAAAATAGTCTCATTGTTTTGAATTAAACACACCAAAACTGACTAAGCTAAAGACTAAATACACTAAAATACACCCTAATTATAAAATCCAAACACGCAAAGTATCACAGATGGAATTACTCAGTTCTGCTCTACATCGCCACCAAACTCCATTCAACTTTTGCTTCTTTTTATTTTCTTCTTCCTGTAGATTTTTTAATGTTTGACAAATAACTTTGGGCCTCAGTCTGAAAGGAGGTTGGGGGGTTTATATATTTTCGGCTCAAGAGAAAGATGAAACCAATGGCAGATTGTTGTGTTTTTTTCCATGAAATTATCGTGTTTACTGCTGCCACAAACTGTAACAGAGTCTCAGAGAGGATGTGTCTTTCTGGCTACAGCGATTTAAATTGGTCATAAGAATCGATCATGTGACATGCTGTCGTGCATCATATCTGTACAACATTCTTAAAAAACTGGATGAAAATGTGTGATACACACAAAGTATTACTAGCTAATGATTGTTTATCTGATCTGCACCATTTCCCCCACGTTAAAAAAAACATGGAGGCTGAAATCACGTGACAGATGACGTCACGCCAACTTCAAGTTTGTTTCAGTCGTTATAAATATTTCATTGGGAAAAAGGCTGAGAAAAACACATGAATAAATAAACCGAGAAGTAAAACAGACCTTGTGAGTCTCTAATCAGTCCTGCAGTGGAAAATTAGCTGAGGTCTCAGCTGAGCGCGTGAAGAAGGGTGACTCGGCGCAGAAAGCAACACGTACCTTAACGTAGGCCGTGTACCGCTGACACTTCGCCCTGTTGATGTCCAGGCTCAGCTGCTGGCTCAGCTGGGTCACCTGAGATCCAGCCTGCGTGAAATAAATCCTAGAGGGCTGGTTRTTCTGTCGCTTATCCACATCGGCAGTCAAGTTGTACAGCAGCTCTGAAAGGAGGAAGAAACTCTGTTACAAATAATGTCAACAGGAAACACTTGAATGCAGTGTTTGGGTTTATCTTGTGTTCTATAAAAAATAAACAGATGAGGAAATAAGATAAAACAAAGTCAGTGGGAAGATGGACAAATCATCGGGTTGTGCTTTGAAAGCAGGGAAGTTTCAGTAGCAGCAGCTGCCCCTGGGTCAAAATGACCAATGAGGCCTGTTTTGAAAAGCAGCATTTCCCACAGTTTTGCTGGTTCAGTTACGCCATTGCCAGGCAAAGGAACGAGGCATCTAACAGATTTATTTTTAAAGAAACACAACGTTTTTGCTGATTGCATTCTCCATGTGATTGTAGAAAACCGAGTCTGGATCTCGGGCCATTCAAGTCTGTTCCTCTGCATGAATCAGCCTCATTCTGCAGTCGTACCCTCTGAAGGGTGTGATGTGGGTAAAACAGAGGGAGGGGCGGCAAACGCACCCAAGTCGGACCAAAGCCCACTGTTTCTGTCATCCAACAGAGCCAGGAGGTGAGGGAAGTTTTCATTACAGGAGTCGCAGAAACACAAGCACTTCACTTTCCACGCCGATCGCCAGACGGCCGAACAGAGAGGCTTTATTCCTCCGAGCCGGGACACGATCATTATGCAACAACGGGGCTCCTGTTCCCCTGGGGGTGTGGTGGTGGTGGGGGGGGGGGGGCAGTGACCACACCCAAACATTAGAACAGGACTGCACCTCGGCTGTCATCAGACACCACACCCAACCCAATGGTAGAAAGCTTGATTTACTGAGATTCAGCAGGATCTTTGATAATAAGAAGAACATTTTTTCGAAATTTACTGTTTTTAAAGTTCAGGAAGTTTAAACGTTCATGAATTCCTACTTTATTTTTATGTTTTCAGACATGTTAACCTTGTCAAGTTTTAATTTTAAATTTAGATAAAGGAAAGCTAGCTGTTTCTCAAAACTTTCACTTTTATGCTAAGCTAAGCTAATCTTGTCATCTTTATGTAAATACGACAAAGCAAATGATCTTCATCTTCARATTCAAAGCATGTCAAATTTTGTTTTTTTAAACAAACTGTTTCAGGTTTCGTCACCTATTTGTCCGGGCAGCTGTCTGCCCCGAAAGCGCATGCAGACGGTGACGTTGAAGCAGTTGAGGTTTTGGTGGTTCTGGTGGCCCTCATGGCACTGCGGCGTAGAGATGTTGATGGAGACAGGCAGGAAGATGGAGACATCCACCGTAATGACAGGCCGGGACCTACAACCGTTCCAGACCCAAACACAGAGTGGGGACAAGGTGATCATTAAAACTATCGGGGAAGCAGAAAAAAAACACAAAAAGTTGCTTCGCATTTTACAAATTCTGGAGTGACACACAGACTGACTCAGTCACTCACCTCAGCAGCACCACGCTGTCTGACATGAAAGCTCCAATAGTTACATCTGCAGAGAGAGGGGGGGAAAAAACATAATTAATAAGGTATGACGTGAATGCAACATCTGCAGTCAGCAGTTTTTTACACCTGCACTTTAAAAACAACGCTGCCAGGACTTCAGCTGTCGTGCAGCCTCGGTCTGACTGTCAGCTGTGGAATGTCGTAAACAACAAGTAAACAACAAGCTTCTGTCACGAGTGTGGAGATCTGCTACTGACTGACGAAAAAGAAGCTGCAGACATGACAACAACAAAGGCAACAATTGGCAAATTTATCCCTTTTTTATCTGATACTATTATATTTTCATTTTAAGTTCAGGAACATGATGCACAAAACTGAAGGGGCAGTATMATGTTATTTCCAGGCACATAGTTCAATTCTATACCACAGTTAAGTAATTATGTTACCATCACTTGTTACTAAAATGATGTATTTATCAAAAATAAAATTGACTTTGCATCATAGCTTCTAAATGCCTTGAAACTTGTCTTTTTAAGAACCTTCTACCATTTCAGACACTCCCACTTCAGCATGTCTTCCCAACAATGCTTCGAGGGAGGTGTGCTCTGTGGGGAGGGAGCTCGGCTGCAGATTGAGCTCCAGGGAGGAGCTTTGTAGGTAAATGGGCGGAGCTTTGTACCAGAAAGCGTTAGGACACCGCCACGACTACCACAGCAGATTCAAGGATTTTTCAAACATGCATGAATGAGTCGAAGAAGAATGACATTATAACATATRAGAAAGCTCAAAGAAGTCAATTTTTCCATAATACCACTTTAAAAACAGCTTTATCCACACTATGGTGAGACAGATGGTGGAAAACTATACGTGAAATAACAGCTGTGCACAGTATTTGCTTATAGCTAGATTATAAATTAGAAAAAAAGTTTTGCACTGACTGACTCAAGAACTTTGCACAAAAAATTCCTACGTGCTCGAACTAAGCATATGTGCAAAAACTGGCCACTCGTGCTGTACCTGCGTATCCGTTGCCATCCATGTCCACATTCCCAGAGATGGARTGGCCAAACATCTGCAGACCAGGGTTCAGGCTGCGCCCAGACAGTTTCTGGAACAAAGGATACCAACAAAATATGGGAATGTGATGGACAAAAAGAGCAGTCCATGATTTATTTATTTTGCTCACTGCACATCATTTTTTATTTTTAGAAATGACTGATCCAACGGCTAACACAAAATTTTATGGTTTGGCTCTAAATGTACCAAAAACTACACTAAAATCRGCAATTTTACCACTCAACTACCACCACACAACCAAAAAATAACAAAAAATTCATAATTTTCAGAACACTTTAGTGATATATTAAAATTTAGCTTGTGAATTATGAAAAAAAATGTGAATAATGAATATTTCTCACCATGGAGTATTTTGTAATAATTCCTGCTTCACCCCCATGATAGATATACACAGCTCCTCCATAGTCATCCTCTTTAGGAGCTCCTATGGCTACATCTGAAGAGACAAATAAGTACAAAAAATGAATCATTACATGTTAAAAAGTATTTAATTAACCTCCTGTTTACATTAGGTTGGCTAATGCCTGGGAAACAAGCTCTAAAAGAAAGACTCGTAATGGACAATTAAGTGCTGTTAGTGACCATAAAAACTTGTGCGACCTCTGAGAAASTGGAAACAAGGCTATAAAGTCCTGGCAAAAAACCCTGGAACACCCTGACCGGCACATTTTTAGCATAACGTCCAAATATAGACTTCCTTTTATAAACCAAAGCTATTCCATCTCATGTGGTACGGCATACCAGGCAGAAATGGTACAATCTGTGTTTCACAATAGTTAATTTATTACATGGAGACRAAATAAAAGTCTTCTGTCAGTGGCCAAGTGTGTGATTTTACAGTAGCTTTTGAAAATTAAACGGTGCCTGCTGAGTTGTAAATAATCGCCCGTCAGTCACAGCGACTACATCTGGCTCTTTCCACAATCCAACAGTGATGAGTTACGGGATGAGTTATTCTTCCCAGTTGCCATCTTCCGCTGCACACACACACACACACACACGTTGTGCCAGGCTGCGAGCCTTAGAGGCGCATCTCACACCGAGATGAAACCAGGCAGAGGCTTCCAGCCGCGAGCGTGGGACGCATGCCAAGTGAAGCCTTCAGAGCCAAACCAAAGAAGTGCCAGGAAAAAACAAACGGCGTCATCCTGCTCCTCAAAGTCAGCGTGGATCTGGTTTGTGCCTTCATGGATTGTTGCACACTGGTGTGATGTTGACCAATATGCTCTAATATACTAACATATTTTTCATGGTAATATGAAACAAATGTATGTAAATTTGACAGAAAAGATGGGGGCGGGACAGAGCACAGGCCCGGAAAGAAAGATGGTTCTGTTAATACAACTGTAATACCACTTTCAAGAGCAGCTCTTTCAACAGCGGTTTTGCAATGATATACTTCTAATTTTGGGACGGCGTTGGCAAATGTGTACCGCAACCTAAAGAAGACAAGATGCTTCATGTGTCCTGACCCACAACGGCTCATGTTTTGTAGCGCAGTGTTAGCGTTAGCAACTTTAAAAGACTAATTGTTACCATAACACTTGATTTGGTTCGAGGCGGGTCTGTATTCACACCAGACGTGAACCGCACCAGAGTTTGTTTGGACGCAGACTGAAAGCACCTCAAAAATGGGTCTCGGTCCGGTTGTTTGGTTCGCAACAGGGTTCGCATTAATGTATTCACACCTGCGTAAAAGGTCCGGACCAACGAAGGAAACAAACTCTGTTCTGTTTAAAGCGGACCAAATATGTCAGGTGTGAAAACATACTATGAACCATTCAAGCTCCAATTACATGAATGCTAACAAACATACAGTAAACCAAAGGTTTCATTTTAGCTGATTTATCCAAACTAGAAAGATCCCAATATGAGAAGAAACATATAGTTTAAGAACCAACAAGATTGAAAAAACAACAGTACCATTCTACTAACCTTGATAACCATCGTCATCTATGTCTCCAATTGCTGCAATGCACTCTCCGAAGTGAGCATTAAAAGCATCGTCACCAGTCAGAACTGCACCCTCCTCCATCACCCCCTGAAGAAATTAAAGAATCAGATGAAACTTTATATCAACATTTTTAGGAGCTTTAAAAGTTGCGGCCCTCTTGACTCTAAAAACTAATCTGAATGATCAGAATCAGAATCAGAATACTTTATTGATCCCGGGGGGAAATTACAATGAATTGTAGATGTACACCTTATGACTGAGTTTTCAGAGTTTCATTATAAACAGAAGCTCTCATACCAAACGCAAAAATGTTTATTTCAGCTATTTGCTAATAAACAGTTATAAACTAGAAAATTTTCATTTCCTGCAAAAATGCAGCTCAAATGCTTAATGCTAAAAGTTTTTGCTGAACAGCGAAAAAAGCTAAAAGTAGCCTAAAATAGCTTGAAAAGAAGCCAAAATCATAGAAAACAAAAGCAAACGGCCTCTTGTTCTTCGCTTTGCTTCYTACAGAGGGTCTGGACCCTYGACTATTGAGAAGTGATGTCTTGCTGGAGGCGTGGCCTCTGTTGAAGTTTAAAACGATTGGATCTGATTTACCCAATTGCTAACGTTTGGCTGTGARGTATGCAGTGCGCTAGCTCGACCATGAAGGAAGCTAAGCTAAGCTAACCGGAAACTGCCTGCCCTGTAAACAACCATCCCCTGCCGACAGGAGAGACGRACCGAGCTGAACGAGACAGCTGTAAATGAAAGTTTTGATACATGAATTGTTGAAGTAGTACAAAAATTGTGGAACGATATATGTGCTGAAAAACAAATGTAAGAAAAAATTATCTGAATAGTGTGAATAAGCTTTATAAGCATTTAAAATGAACATTATCAGTTGTACAGAGTTTACAGCGTGTGTGGATTTAAGGTGGTAAAGTAATCTGCAGGTTATGGTGTTGTGTTTCGTTCCCCTCGGTCACGTCCCACTCACGTTGCCCTTGCTGATGTACACAGACACTTGGCCCTCGTCCCGGAGCTGGCTGTGCATGGGTGCCCCCACCAGCAGGTCCGACAAGCCGTCCTGGTTCAGATCAACTGCACACAATGAGGAGCCAAAGTAAGAGCCCATCTGGAACCAAGTCGAGCCACAGAGCATTGGGTCAGATCACAGACAGATCCTCGGCACAAAGAAATTCACACAAATCGCACTTTCGCTTCATTTTCTTTCTGCCTTTTAAATCTCTTTAAAATGTGATTCTGTAGGAAAAGCATTAGCTGCCTCCCTGGTTCTGGTTTGTGGCAAATGTGCCGCTCCTTTAAGTTTGTCTAAACGCTAACACAGACGTAAACAGTGTGGTTCTAATGGCAACACAATTAAAGTTTGTCTGCAGAGATCCAGCTACATGACTCCTGAGGTAACTAAACAATAATGTTTGTACGGTTTATGATATAATATAACAGAACAGTACAACAAAACGCTTTCTGGAAATTCAAAAAAGCTGGTCTGAAATGTTTGGAAACAGTCTGAGACCACGATCGAGGTCATACCATTTTCCCCGAGGCTTGAAATGTCTTCACCAAAGACCCGCCATCAATTTTGAAAACGTAAACCTGTCCAGGAGAGAAACAAAATCACTTCAGCAAAGCAGACTTGAATTCCACAGCTGGACGCAGGTCAGAGAAACCTTACGCTTCCAACGCCGTTGTGCTGCGGTGCCCCCGCAGCTATGTCGATTACATTAGGAGAGGAGAAGTGTCCTGCAGTCACGGCGTAGCCTGGAGACACATAACAACAAATCATCTGGTCAAAATATCCCGTCCATCTGTATTACATGTGCCAAACTCAAGGCCTGCGGGCCAAATGTGGCCTGTGGACTAATTTAGTTCAGCCTGCAAATTTTTTTAATTTTTTTTTGTAATTTAATAAAAAAATATGTTAAATTAAATGTAAACTTTAAGGCAACAAAATAAACAAATTTAAAAAGGCAATACATAATTTTGCTTCAGATTTGAGTAACTGCGGATATTGAGTTAAATTGCCCGGTATTAATGTCTGAAAAAGTAATGCTTTAAAGCCAGAACTGACAATAAACTACATCTCCCATAATGCATGTCGATTTTAGCCAGCAGCTGGCAAAATTCACAMTGTAAAATCTAAATTTAGCTGCATTTTCAACAACTTTTGCTAAGGCTCAGTTGTACAGGTAAGTGGGAATMTCCCACTTACAAGTCAGAAATTTAATTTAAACTGGAACTCACCTTCAGTGGGAATTCCCAATCGGAAAGTGGGAAAGTTCAAAATTCCCAACTCAACAGTGAGTAAAACTTGATTTGTTTGACTTTTAATAGTATTTCTGTTTTATTCATTTCACCTTTACTCAGTACATGTAGCACTTTTCCGTGTTTTTAAAAGGATCAAAAAGAAAAAAATTGTGTAGGTCTTCTGGACGGGTTCTTCTCTAATGAAACGTTTCGTCTCTCCTTCAAGAGACTTCTTCAGTCTGAGAGTTTCAGGCAAAATTCAGGCTTTTAAGCCCAGTGGTTATTCCGTACGTTGCGGGTGTTTCAGAGAAACTGAGACGTTTATTTTCTAAACATGATGTCCCAGTGGCTTTC